GGGGTGAGGCCAGCCGGTGGCAGGGGGCTGAGGGCAGTGGGTGGCACGGGGGTGACGGCGGTGGGTGGCACAGGGCTGAGGGCAGCGGGTGACAGGCGGGCGAGGGCGGCCCGCGGCAGGCGGGCGAGGTGGTGGCAGGCGCGGGAGCCCAGCAGCAGGTACAGGCAGGGGTTCAGGCAGCTGCTGACGTTGAAGGCCAGCCCCAGCAGGTAGAGGAGGTGGCCCGGTGGCCTGGGGGCCACCAGCTGCAGCAGCTGGGTGACCTGGAAGGGCAGATGCAGCAGCACGTAGGCGCTCAGCGTGGCCACCACGATGTGCTGGAAACGGGTGGGCGGGCGGCCGCCTTGGCCACGCTGGCACCAAGCCAGCACCAGAGCGGTCCCGTGGCAAACCACAACCACGCTGAAGGGCAGCAGCCCCTCCACCACCACCTCCAGCCACCGCATCGGCACCTCCCAGCTCCCCCTCTCGCTACGGCACACCACCAAAGCGGGCAACAGCTCGGCTGTCGTCGACAGCACCGTGTCCGGCACGCTGCAACCGGTCGCTGTCAACCAGGCGCCCGTGCACAACGCCGCCGGTAAATGGGCTGGTTGCCGGCACCGGTACCAGACCGGGGCAGCCACCAGCAGGCAGCGGTCCAGGCTGATGGCCGCCAGCAAGAAAAGCCCGCTGTAGTAGCCCAAGGCATAGAGAAACTGGTGGAGGCGGCACAGGTGGGTGCCCAGCACCCACTGGTGACCGTGGGCCAGCGACCAGATCTGTAGGAGCGAGTTGGCGAGGAAGAGGAAGTCGGAGGTGGCCAGGCTGAGGATGAAGGTGGCCAGTCCCCGGCACCGCAGTCGCCAGCCCGTCAGCCAGAGGGTGAAGGCGTTGGCGGGCAGCCCCAGCACGGCACAGGCCACCAGCAGCCGCCCGTCCCACTGCAGGGTGCCGGGGGGTGGCAGGGACAGGGTGGGGGCCAGCGTGGCGTTCGACGGCTCCATCGCCTCCGGGGGTTCCCACCCTGCGGGCAGCGTGGGCAGCTCAGGGCTGCGGGAAGGGCTGTCACCCCCTCCGGTGCCACCCCACTCCCATGTCACCCCCTCCCATGTCACCCCATCCCGCGGCACTACGCCGGTGCTCACCCAGGGCCCCCCCAGAGCCCCTGGCACACCGCAACCAGGCTTTCTCCTGCTCTGCCCTCATTTCGGGGTACCCCCCCCGTCCCCCAGCGTCCCTGTCCCCCACCGCCTGTGCCGCCCTGCGCCCACCCAGC